TATTCACCCTATTTCGTGTAAGGTGATGAAGGACTGGTAGTAGAATTTTCCCACAATTATATGAGTTGAGGTGACGTTTTCATTGAATTTCACATAGCCTTGCTTTCCCAAAAGTTGTTCTCATCCAGGCAGAAGTGGATTTCAGTTTCGACGTCGCATCGGTCTTATTAACACCCTCAGCGAGAGTCGAACCGAGACAGTGCAGGATGGAAGCTTGACACGCTAAACACTCGGCTACACTGCCACGAGTACCCTTGAGTCACAGGGCATAAGTGAATTTAAAGGAAGGTCAGGCCTCTTTGCTATATCATATTCTTTTGGTGGGAGTGCCGATGAAGCAATCTTATATTTGCTATAGCAATCGACTGCATTACTTATATTCGTTTTAGAGTATAACATAAGTTTGCTTTATCGGCACTCTCAGTAAAAGAATATGATATAGCAAAGAGGCCTGACCTTCCTTGAAATTCACTTATGCCCTGTGACTCAAGGGCAGTCCACTGGTGCCTGGATCAGAACAACTTTTGGGAAAGCAAGGCTATGTGAAATTCAATGGAAACGTCAGCTAAACCCATATCATTGTGGGAAAATTCTACTACCAGTCCTTCATCACCTTACATGAAATAGGGTGAATACATCTCATTAACATATCACAGTTGGATATGTAGCTAATTTCTTTCAATCACCAATATAATTGCTTTGATCTATTAGCTGATATTTAGGCTAAAGCTTTTTGGATGTATTGCTGTGAATCGCGAACTGTCAACGACAGAAGAGCATTCAGTGTAAGATTTGTATGCCAGCAATGTTCTAATTTCAATGCTCACTATCCCTTCTTTGTCTTCAGGTGCATGCAACGGATGTAGATGTTGGCGCCAACGCCCAAGTTGAGTACCGTTTCAGTCTACTCACGAAGAGTGAATATCGTCGCTTGTTCTCCATTGAACCATCCACCGGATGGATTCGAGTTCAATGGGAGATTGACTATGAAACGTACAGAACAGTGAGTTGGATTAACATTCAGTGTAATTTTTACACAATTTATGCCATTAAAGAATTGAATATCATGAGGATATGACCACATTGTGGGTCACAGCCTCTGTTAAATGTAAAGAAATAGTCTGAATTAGTTTTTATTACTTAGTCTTGTTGTCAGGTAGACTTCGAATAACACTGTCTTTCAGGTCTAATCCGCCATAGTACTCTTGCTGATTCCAAATGTCGGACCGTTGAAAGTGACTAAACTAAACTAAAATAAATAAATAT